AAGGTTTAAGGGGAAATGGTTTTCAGTCATGGCTGAAAAATATTGTCGGAAAATTCTCACCAGGAAACTGGTTGAGATGTATACCGTGCGTGGAGACTTCTTACGGCTAAAATCCAGAGCTGAAAAGTATTGTTTAGCACAAGTCTCTAGAGAATGGGCAAATACAAAATTATTCCAATCTCAAAGCAAAGCGCATATCAAAAGGTCATATATATTGAACTGGATTCAAAAAAGTCGTTTCGTTGTTTGTGTTTCGGGGGGAGCTGGCCCTTCGACGATGAAGACATTTGGCGGTGGAATATCCGAGTTTTTTTATAATGCAAATCAAAAGCCTTCTGAAGTGGAAAGGGAGCTGAAAGACAACTTATTAAAGTTGGCTCGAGGCAGTTTAGTTTCCCCTTTTTATTGTGAGAATAAGAGTTATTGTAAGTCGGAAAATGTTCGCGTATACGTGTAAAATAAATCTCTTAGTTACAAAAGCGGCAGCATGGTCTGCTGTTTTCGACGAGAGAAATTTACTGTCATCTCAACAAATTAAATCATGTTGCATCTCAAGAGAATCCTGTTTTCGCATAATTGGCTTTCACTGCTACTATAAAAATAAAAATTGGAATAAAACTCTGATGTACGAGATGTTATACGTGACAGGTCTATGACTACCCCTCACAAGATTCAAATCTGTTCAGTTTTCATTTACGAACTAACCAATAAAAATGTTTCTGGAAATGTTTAGACCTGACCTAAGCCCCAACATCGCCAGGAAACAAATACAACCTAATGGAGCATGAGAAATCTGCTTGTAAACAGCAAAGAGTGCGTGAGTTAGTGGAAGAGATTTGTAAAGGGAGGGAGGAGTGGTGCGAATAAGATTCCGCCGTTTTTTCCAAAATACATTCCTACACCGAAGAGTGACTTTAAAATTCTAATTTATTGTTTTTGATAGAGTTGCACAATTTTACCTAATCACAACAATTGATTGCTCATATCTGGCGGTTAACGTATTTCGTTTTGAATATTTTTGTGATATTCGAAAACATAACTTTAAAGCCTGCCTATTAAACGTTAGCAAGGTTACATCAAATGATTATATGTCGATGACTTTACTGAGTTAACTGAAAGTGTGGATTAAGGAGTTCTGGCAGTGAATTATTGATCTAATAAAAAAAAAAATTGCTAACAGCTCTCTTTCATTCCACTTAATCAAAATTTCCTTCATCGTGAGGAATACAAGTCTCGAAAATCACAACGTTATATGGCAAAACTTTTTCGAAGATACACGAGATCTTTAACCATTCAAAGACCAAAGCTGACACTAAATGACTAAATGACTGTTTCGTAGCTCGACAAATTAAAGTCTGTGTGGTCTTTCATCAGATCAGCAGGGTATCGTTCAACTTAAGCTAACAAAAGTACTTCTCAGCTCAGTCCAGAACAGTCACAGATATCAAGATTATCTCATGTCCAAACTCACAAAGGTTTTAAAATTGTCATCTTCGTTTAAAGGGTTCTTCTCTCGCACATTGCTACTCAATATGAAAGGATTTACACAGGTTGGTTGTCAGCTACAGTTGTCTCATCCGACATGTCTGTCACGGAGAGCTCTGGTTCGCGTAATTCGTTTCTCAGAGTCTTCTTTTGGCGCCATCTGCTCACGGTTCTGTACGTTACCATGCCAACGACCAGCAAAGGAACATAGGCCAACACGCAGACAAATACTCTCAAACCGGCCCTGGTCTTATTCGACAGGCTAGCATCAATGGCAGAACTGAAAATGGCGATCAGCGACAGTGTTGTCAGTAGTGCCACGTCTGATTTGTTGATCCACTCGTAGCTTTCTTCGTCCTCCTTGACATCAGCAGCTTCCTTGTAGGGCCTCAAGAACGCAAAGGTCAGGAGGATGAGGACACAGGCAGTTTCCAACATGGCTCTCTTAACAGCTCCTGAGGGCGCAAGAGTGCTGATCGCCAGTAGTATAAATCGGCATAGAAAGTAAAAGGCAGCACACCAACGGTATTGGTCCTTGAAGCAGCTCTGAAGGGCATCGAACATCGGCTTCCATCGATTTAGATTCACCACAAAAAGCAGTTTTCGAGTGAGGTAACTGCGAAACAAGAGGATCGTCGGAAATGGAATTACCACGATCAGAATGTATAGGATTGCTAAAACACCATAGGCAATATGTTTTCCTGAGAAGTACCCAATGTTGCCATTTGCGTACATCACGTAGGTGGACCCAAATTTTGCAAAATGTAGGATTCGCAGTGAGATTCTGGTGATGTCAGTGTAGCAGAGCACAAAAATGGTACAAAACGCTCGGAAAGGAGCGGCTCTGACACGTTTGCTGAACCACCAGTTGGGATGATTACCTACAGCCCTAGCTAACAGCATTACTAGAACCAAGACGAACGTTGGTAGCGCGTACATAATGGCCAATTTGTCTGCATCGTCTAGACCAGCGGCAAAGCAAATCCCACCAGACCGAGCAGAGCCTATTTTGAATTGGAAGTTTCCCAGACCGATGAGAAACTCGATGAAAGGGTCGAACTGGAAGCCACTAGGGGTAATAACGTTCATGACTTGGTAGGAATACACCCATGCGTTCAAATATCCAGTGAAGAAATCGAGGTTGATCAACATGACACCCATGACGACAATCAACAGGATCACTCCGTACAAAATCAGCAGCAACAAATACCAGTTGGAACAAGTGTTAGAACAGTGTTCCCCTCCGAATAGCACGCCATAGTTCGCTTTACACTCGCCACAAAGCACGCTACTCTGATTTCTGTTCTCATTGCAAAGTTTCCCGGAATCATATTTCTGTTCGGTCGAAGGATGATCACTTATGTTACAGTATCCATTAGGACAGAAATGAGTTACAAATGCTTCATTGACTAGTCCTGCCCAGTATCCATATTTAAGATAAAATGTCTTCCCGTCCGACTCACAACTGGATACACCAGCATCGGTAGTATCCTTGCAAACGCAAGTATTCTCCTTTGCCATGAATCCTGGATTACACGGTTTAAGTGATAAGTTAAATATCGTTTTAGTTAATAGTCCTCTCCCCATGTACCACAGTTTCACCGAAAACTTTTCTCCAGCTTTCCCAGCGAGTTTAACGTTGGAAACACTTCTATTAGCGATGAATAAGGGCGAAGACGCGTCCAAATGAACCGAGGATTGATCCTGAAGAGGAATTACTTTTACATTGATGCTACCAACGACGGAGTTACCAATCTCGTCGAGCAATGATAAAGAGGCATTAAAAACCTCACTCGGGGCCACCGACCAGTCCTCTCTGTCAAACTCTATTTTAACTGGTTCAGTGGTGACCTCCTTTGTTAGGAAGGTTTTCTGTCCATCGGCGCTCCTGAATTCCACAAATTTCCACTGCAAAACGGAGTTGTTTAGACGCGGTTCACCTGGTCGTCGACAGTTCTTTAGCGTGGTGGCGTAAACTGAATTCCCTGCAAACGCTGCTTTGTTGCCCTGGAAGACAACCCTCGTTTCCCAGTAATCGAAGTCAGAATCATCCGAGTACCCGAAGAAACAAATGTGCGTATTTATACCAGTTGCATTGAAACCAACAAGTGGTGGTCCGGGGGCGAAGATGTACAAAGCCCCACCTCTGTCGTCGCACTTGTTACCGTCAAAGAGCAGGTAAGAATTTTTGTTAAAAACAATCCTCGAACGTCCGTACATAGCTATTGCACCGCCTCTAAATCCTGTGTTGTTGATGAAGTGTACGTTCCCGAATATTTCCATAGTGGAACCATCAAGGGCCATGGCCGAGTTGGTGTTGTTAAAGAATGTCACATTTCCTTGGAATATCAGAGGCACTTGTATACTGTAAAGTGCGCCTTCTCCAATGGTCACCAGTTGTTCTTTACGTATCACTCGATTACCCTGAAACTTTGAGAAATTCAAGGTTACCTGGTAAGGAATTTCAGGTCCGATTTGATCTTCGTTCTGATTGAAGAGAAAAGAAGCCATGGCAGCTCCAACTGTTCCAGTGTTCTCACTCCAGTGACACTCGTTGAAGTAGAACTGGGTTAAGTTATACGCGGTTGTGTCAGGAATAGTCGTTCCAAAGATCGATGCCCCTCCTCCCCATGTAGCCTCGTTTCTCACGAACGAGCAGTTGATTACAGAAAATGTATTGAGACCGCGTCCGCTTCCCTTGATAAAGTTTCCGATTCGAATACCTCCACCGGCCATACGTCCTTCATTGCTGTCAAAAATGGTGTTTGCCATTGTGAATAAATTCCTTCTGCTCTCTTCTTTCATTTCGAGCATGAGACCTCCTCCCCAGTCCGCACGATTTCTGATGAAAGCACACGATTCTACGTCAACTAGGCATCCACTAGCATTCGATCGAAAGTAAATTGCCAAACCGCCTCCTCGACTGAACGGAAGCTCTGGTGTGTCAACAAAGTCATTTTGTTTACTTTTATTACGCCACAAGGCTTCGTTTCCGAGAAAACGGCAATTTTGAAAAATGTATGTATTGTTATGTTGGTATGAATCATGTTTACTTGGCGAGACTTGGACTGTATTGGAACCGTACGGATCCAAGCCTAAATAAACACCACCTCCAGAGAACACGTCATTTTTACTTTGACTTCCAAAGAAGTTGTCTTCGATACTACGACTTAAATTCCTTTGCGTTGCGTTACTGTAGCGCGCAGTATTTTCCGTAAACGCGCTGTTTGTGAAGTTTACTACGCCTCCACAGTCAAAACAGTTGACAGCGAGGCCCGATGAAGACAAAATTTCGACGCCGTAGAAGCGTATGTTCTTGCAATATCTGAAATCTAGGGCTGTTTTGAAATTTACTCCATCGAGTCCGCTATAAGGCTTCTTTGCTCTAACTGTGCTCTTTTGCCAACCTCCACAATTCTGCAACATGATTCCTTCGAAAAATATATTTTCGCTCAGAACAAAAGACAAGCTCACATTTGATTTACAAGTGATTTGTACATCTTTTGGAGTCGAACCCTGCCCTACCATACCGAAGTTCTCCACATTTGTAAATCTGTAACTCTTTGTCAGGGTGTAGTTTCCTTCTGCTGCTTTTATCTGTGTTGAGTTTGCTCCACTTTCACGTGCGATTGAGATGGCGAAATCCAGCGATAGACACGGTTGACTCTCCTTTCCACAAGTTTTAGCGTCCATGCCTTCTGGTGAAACAAAGATATTTCTAATCCTGTCCGATGCCATCGAACATCGAACCGTTAAAAGACTCCAGATCAAGAAATACAGGCCAGAACTTAGCGCTTCCATCGTTAAAAGTAGCACGACTAATTCGAACAGCACAAAGTAAATATTAACAGATTTCCGAGAAATATTGTGTGACATACAATGGAAGTTGCGTATCAGCATCACGACTTCCGGCCTTAGTATTAGGATGGCCTATATTATTAGGAGCTATTGTCACAATACTTGAACTATTTGCTTGTACGTTACAGGTTGTTCAGTTATTATAAAGGAGCAGTTTAATGTTGGATTATGAGGGTATTTGAACACCAAAAAGGCAGAAATAGTTATAAAAATAAGGAACAAAGCTAGAAAAGATTAGAACGGATTACAAATGCCGAATTTGAAACATCTTTGCTCTTCTGTACCGTGACCTTTTACGCTCCGCCTCTAAGCTGTCTAGACACGTTTCTTAGAAATGAATGGTGCAAAGTTCGTGTAACATTTAAATCTTCATTTCTGACAAAGAGTGGGAAATGAAGGATTCCTTTAGTATGAACTGTCTCTTTCTATGTTTCTTCCTTCTCCTGCCTTCAGCGGCAGCGTGGAGTAAAGAAATTTTCGTCTCACCGAATGGTAACGACTCGTTGAGCTGCGGTGCACGCGATCAGCCTTGCAAGTCCATCGACAAAGCTTTCGGCGTAGCTTTATCTGGCGGTGCTAATTCAACGTTGATCAACGTAAAAAGCGGAAATTACACCATGGC